AAACACCATAATAATTATCACTCACTTCCATAAAAACATCATAATCATCATCACATCTATGAAAACATCATAATCATCGCATCCATAAATACATCATAACCATTATCACAACAATAAAAACATCATAATCATCATCATTCATAAAAACATTTAAATCATTATCATCACATCCATAAAAAATCATAACCATCATCATTATCACATCCACAAAAGCATCATAACCATCAACATCTCATCCATAAAAACATCATCATAATCATCTTCACCATCATCACATTCATAAAATCATCATAACCTACAATCTTAAGTCACATTTAAAAATTATCACAACCATCTTGGTCATCATTCCAAATGTAAAAAACATTCATATAGAAAATCGACACTCGATTCAAACACAAAGTATCGACATTCGATTCAGATACAAAAAATCAACATTCGATTCAAATACAAAGAATCGACATTCGATTCAGATACAAAAAAATTGGCATTTGATTCAAATACAAAGAATCGACATTCGATTCAAATACAAAGAATCGACACTCGATTCGAATACAAAGAATCGACATTCGATTCATAAACAAAAAACCAACATCCGAAGCAAAGCAACAACATTCAAAACCAAAATTCCATTCATAAATCACTTGACATAGTCACCTTTTTCACAACCATTACATTTGAAAACATAAAGGAAACCGTTATTTTACTAAAATTTAAAACACTTCACATATTATCAACTTCACCATCACCTTATTTCCAATCGTAAATCCCATAACCATCATCATGATCATCTTAAGGCCAATTATAAACCACATTTAAAAAACATTATCATAATCATTTTCATCATCACATTTAAAAAACATCATCATAAACATCTCCATCGTTATCTTAATTTAATTTTAAAGCAAGTGTAGAACTCGCTGACATCTCAAACGTTCTTGAACTTCTGGTAAAAGATCATTTTCAGATGATGTTGACCTTGTTGTTGGTCATTTTTGTTGTTGTTGGTGGTTGTCATTTTCGTTGTTGAGCAGATCTTTTTTATCTGTAGAGTAGGACATATTAATAATTGTATAAAAAAATATTAATTATATAATTACCAATACTATCATATCAACAAATGGGACATACAATTCATGCATGCACCAGCATTCTATCTGCTTTTTTGAATCTTACACAACGATCATTCATAAAGCTAAAAAATCACAATTCATATTAACATTGTAGAGACAAATGTGAACTTATATACACACACACACACACGCACACACAATAACAAAGAAACATCAACATACAATCAATTGGTTCACAAACTTACCAGTGATGGTAATAGATAGAATTAGAGAATAAGGAAAAAAACTAAATAAAAATAACAATCTGGATAAAAAAAGATAAATAAATGGCTCATAAAATGTTTTGAGTGTTGACATGATGCATGAACACAAGCAAAAAACAAGACCAAAAGACAAGAGCAAAACCAGATCTCACTCCTAACTACTTATGTCAATTGATTACACTCCTAACCTACCTAAAAAGCAATTGATTGAAACTCAACTTACTTATATTAAATTAACTCCCCTAATAACTTAATATCCTTAAGAGTAAAAGATGAAAGGACAAAACAAAAAAAAACACAGTTGATGTGTTCTTATGTGTGTGAATTGTACAAATGTACATAATTATATTTAAAAAAAGTTAGTAAAAACAAAACTTCAACAAAGAAATAAGCCAAAAATTGAAACCACAAGGAACAAATAACACATTCACATAAAAAACCAACACAATTAACACATCAGAAACACAAATTACAATTTAAACATTCAACACTTAATACACTAAAACTTATCTTTTCAATCTTGGCCAATTGAAAATGACTTCAATCAATGGTAGCCCATCCTAGGCCTTCTTACACTGTGAACTGAATTCTAAGTAAAAATTGAATCCGAAGTGTTGGTAGTACTAACAACAGTAGTAGATAAGTATTGTTATAATTAATAAATGCATTCTACATTTAGTCACAGTTGATAAATATATTAACAACTACATTTTGTTAACATTCCAAAACAAAAGTATAAGACTATACTATAAGTATAAGAGAAGAAAGAAGCAGATATAAAAAAAAGCATCATACTCATTTGTTATATTATATTTTATAACAAAACTTTATTTTATTGTATATCTAAAATAATTAACAACTTTTTAATTAAGAATTTATGACTTCTTATGCTATCTAAATATCATAATAAAAAATTATTTTTTTTTACAAATAATTAAACATTTTTTCAATATCTTTTTTTTTTCTTGATATTTAAATTTTCTATTTAAAAAATAATGAAAATGACTTTAAAAAAAACAAAAGAATCACAGTTCACAAATGAATTCAACTCAAAACTCGAGTTGTACGATGTGCTAACTGGAATCTCATATAATAAATAGAATTTTAAAGTGTAATAGTCTAATTAATAGACTCTACTAATACTCATTTTTGCTATTAACATTGCACTGAAGTCTAAATTAAGCCTGGCTGCTGATTCTCAATTGTTCTAATCTAAATTCACACTCAAATTTTTAATCTTCTATTTATAAATCATATTAAATTGAAAAAACATAAAATCAAGCCGCAAATATGACTAAAAATTTCAGTTTGACAAAATGATGAGGAACGTTCAATGCCATGCATGGCGTACTTTTAAAACCCTTAACTTCCAATAAAAACCGGCGAATTTTCATTCACAAACTTAAGTAAATCCTGAAAGATCAAATTGCCGAATTTTTCAGCAAATTTAAATGAAAAAAATAAATCATTAAATACCAGATTCTTTTCGAGAATAGCAATGGCGGTAAAGGCAGACGACGAATGGCAAACGAAGAAATGGCGTGACACGCAGCCCGGAAATCATGTCTAGCGAGTCTGGAGAACTGCGCTTGTTCAGCATTTATATAGTGCGACGCTTATGAGCTATAGATAGGCTAACGAGCATGCGCCGATTAATTCGTTTTTGCCCTAGCGCTTTATTAACCGTTGAAAAGACTCATTCGAAATAAGAAAATGGCGGTGACAATTTTGACACATTTATGTGTTATGTACAAAAATTGTACAAATTAGTGTGTATATTTGTGTCATTATATTTTAACTTTAAGAAAAAAAATTGGGTTTTTAGAAAGAATATTAATTTTTATATTTTAATAATTTTTAGTTAATTTTTTAATGTTTTCTGACTTGTACAAATGGTGAACAATTTTCATTTCAGGGGCATCTAGGAACTTAATACAAGAAACTTACAATGTATTGATATATCTCCATATACTATGAGTATAATTGTGTGCAATTAATATGTAGGCATATTTCCATAGTTCTAAGACAATCCACTGTAGAAGTGAAATAAATTCACAACAATACAGAGTCAAGAACATCTATTAAAATATGAAAATTAATAACTACGGATATATAATATATCATATTATATATCCATGATAACATCAAAATAGTTCGTAAAAGATAAAAAGAAGCATAAAAAATACAATGAAAAAATAAAAAAATACAATGCAGGTTATGAAACATAATCAAAAATCTGCTATAAGACGATACTAACAGTTACGATGAAACTAATGATTTTGTCATGATAAAAATTTCATTAATGGTTTCATACAGACATATTCATCTGTCTTGTTATCTCTTATCATAAAGATAAATGGGCGATCAGCTCTGAAAATAATTTCATCTGACCTTAACTTGGTAGAACTATCCACTCAATACATGCAACAGCAGTTCCACCTGCTGCCTCTGAGCCCCCTTCATTCACATCTACAAATGCCTTGTGCACAACCTTAGACACATACAATTCCCTGGTTTAATTCATTTTTGATAGGTCAGCCTGTATCTGGTCGAATAAATCAACGACTCCAAGTTTCTTCATAAACGTCACCTATTCCAAAACCGGACTCAAGTTTGAATTTGGACAACCAAAGTTCTAGTGTTTTGTGAATAAATAATTTTTGGGAACAACATTTATGTATGTATGTATGTATGTATGTATGTATGTATGTATGTGTAATTTTAAATGTATTTTTTGTGTGCGTGTGTGTTGCAGGTAAGTATGTATGTGTTGTGTGTGTGTGTATGTATGTGTGTGTGTGTGTGTGTGTGTGTGTGTGTGTGTGTGTGTTGCACGCATGTATGTATGAATGAATATGTGCGCATATATATGCGCGGGCTTATATTCTGTCAAATTGCGTTTCATTTAAAAAATTTCGTTCTTTTTGACTTACAAGACATCCTCGAAACGTTTCAAACATGAGCATCGATTCGATAATTGCACACATTTTATCTTCCTTTCTCAAAATTTCATCGATTCGAAGAATGTTTAAGGTATTGAATTGAAGTGAAACATGGGCAAAACATTGTTTCAATCTTGAAGAAATTATAGAGAAATAGAGAGGGCTATAGATATATAAGGAAAGAAAGAGAGAGAGAAAAAGAGAAAAAATTGTAGAAAGAGAAATAATTAAATCCTTCACATTCAAATTAATGTTATCTCTCTTCCACTGAATAGTAAGTAAGAGTGTGTTATTTCTGCGAAATTATACCAGGAAAGAAACCGTCAACTTTAATGTGAGTTGTCGGTTATAAGCGTCTTAATAAGTAAAGAACGTTATCAGATTTCTGAAAATTGTTCAATCGCTTGAAATCCTTTTAAACTATTAAAATTTTTTTATTAAAATCAAAAAAGTTCCAAATCGGTGCCGTTTAAACCATTTTTTTCACTTTCTATCTATTTTAACAAGCATTACTGAATTTTTAAAGATTTTAAATGTATTGTAATTGGAAGATTTGAGAAAAAGAATCCTCAAAATGAGGGAAGATGCAGTAGGTCCTAATAGAGATTTTGGGATTTCCCTTTACAAGGAGCTGGCTGCTGGAAACCCACAGGAAAATATTTTTTTCTCTCCAATCAGTCTCATGTTTGCTCTTGGGATCGCTCTGCTTGGATCTAGAGGTTTCATTTAACATTTTGAAAAGTAAAATTTTAACATTTCAAATTTTTTTCCAGTTTATTAATTCTTAAAAAATTGATTTTAAGTAGTAAATGAATGTAAAAATAATTTTTACTTAAGGAGAGACGGAAAAACAATTAAAATCGGTGATGAAAATAGAGAATATGATAAACGCTGACATGCATCAAGGATTGTTTAAGTTGAAATCTTTTCTGGAAGATGAGAAGAATCCTCACGAACTTCATATTGCAAATCGACTGTTTATTGAAAAGTCTGAAACTCTAAGAGGAGGATTTAGTAAAGATTGTCAGAAATACTATGGAAGCGACCCGGAAAAAGTAGAATTCATGTAGATAATGAATTTTTAACTGTTTCAAATAATTTCCAGAATTTCAAAAACGTGCTTTCAATAAACGAAACACTTTAAAATAATTATTTTCAGGAATGATGCACCGGCCTGTGTGGCAAAAATAAACCGTTGGGTCGAAAAGCTTACGAAAGGAAAAATTAAAAACTTGATATCTGCAGCTGATGTCAGCTCTTCAACAAAATTAATTCTAATAAACGCAATTGTTTTTAAAGGAACATGGATGACAAAATTTTATGAAACAGAGAGTGGAGAATTCTCAATAAGTCCAGGGTCAACTGTTGGTATTAAATTTATGATAATTCAAAAATTGCAGGCGAAATATTGCGACTGCAAGAAACTGAAAAGTCAGATCTTGGAACTACCTTATAAGGACAAATCGATGAGTTTTGTTATAATTTTACCTGATGTAGAACAGACGAATATAGAAAACGTTGAAAAAAAATTGGATAGCGGCGTACTTTCGGAAATCAATGAAAAATTGACTGAAACCAAATTAAAAATCCGCTTACCGAAGTTCTCAATGACAAAAGAATCAAAAGTGACGGAGAAGTTGCAAACGTTAGGCCTCACCGACCTGTTCATAAAAGGAAAAGCAGATTTATATAACATGAACTTGAAGCTTGATTTGTACGTTTCCAAGCTTGTGCACAAAGCTTTCATTGAAGTTAACGAAGAGGGAACGGTGGCTGCAGCTGCTACTGGTGTACAGTTAGGCACAAGGTCCTCGAGTATTTACCTGGATTTCAATGCTAATCATCCGTTCATCTTCTACATCAAAGATAATAAGTTACAAACCATTCTCTTCATGGGAAAGTTTGTTAAACCATGAAAATTTTTCATAAATTTTTTATTTGAAACTTAATAACGAGTAAAATATTTTGACTGAATTTTTCATTCAATTGATTGCTTTTATTACTGATCTATATAAGCTTTTGTTCCAGTTAAAAATTGAAACAAAGTATTTTATTATATTTGAATTTTAAATTTATCCAGTTTTTTTGCTTGAACATTAAATAAAAAACTCCAAACGCTTGATCAAATCTATATGTTGTTATATAAAATTTATTTAATTTATTAACTGTTCTTTTAAATTTTGCCACAATTGCTTTTCAATCAAAAATGGTTGAAAAAGTTTTTTATTTCTAATAAAACTTTAAAAACTCAGCAATTCAACGTCTTCATTCAAGTAAATCAGTGAGAAAAAATGAAGATGATTAGCTAATTAATACCACAATTAAAGAATTTTATATAGAAATTTTCGAGTTTGCTGAAAATCATTAATTTTGAAAGATTCTCTAAAAGCCAAAACAACCTTAAAAAAATGTTATTAATTATATTCAACGTTTAGTATTTTGTGTATGACCGAAAATTTGATAACTCATTTTAGAAACCATTTAAAATAGCGTCGGACAACAAATTATACTTTCTTTGAATAATTCTCATATTACGATTCTATAATTATTCATCTTTATATATTGTATTGTACTTTTTATTTAATTTTTGAAAAGTAACTTAAATAGTTTTCATCAGTCAGGGGGGAATAGGGATATAAAAATCTGGCCCTAAATAAAGCTTAGATAGCATAGAGACGGTGTTTGCACCTTCTATTAATTCTTTGAACGTCATGCTGAACACTACAGAACGTATTTTCTACATTCAAGTATTCGACGTACGTAACTAAATAGATTCAAAAAACAACATTGACTAGAGAAAACGTCGTTCGAAGTTAGTTTTGTTACTTGAAAAGAGATTCTTAACAACACATTGGATCAATTATTTTGTTATTAAATTCAAAATGAAAATTGAAGGTAAAGAATTTGAAAATCTCAGCAAATGTCTTTGAATTTGGGAGTTTATCGTAAAATAGATTAACTAAATGGCAATAATTGTCTTTTCTGTCTATAACAAAAATTAATTGATTACAAAATCAACCTGAAAACATAAAGCACATAAAGTCGGAATAAGTAGCGAAAAGTTTTCTCAACTAAACCAACGAATTGATGAGTAAAAAAGACGATAAAAATCACGGCTTTAAGAATTTACCGAGGAATAATATAGAACCAGATTCGATATCCTTGATGGAAAAAATAAATGGATGGTCGGCTCTGAAATCAACTGGAATTGACGGTGCGGGATGTCGCAAGGATTTCTTTCCGATTATCACTGCAGTTGCTCCAGCCGCTTCTGATCCCTTCTCGTTGACTTCAATGAAAGCTTTGTGTAAAATTGATGAGACGAATAAATTTTTCTCTCCGTTCATGTTCGACAAATCTGCTCTGGAATCAAATAAATCCTGCAAGCCAAGCTCCATCAATGCTCTCATAACGTTTGGTGTCGATTCTAATTTGAATCTCGGTAGCCAAACATTGACTTCTTTGGTATATAAGTGATTCGAAATGTTTTGCAAAATGGTCCCCGTTAATTTTTGTTCGACCTCTTCCAATTTAGTTTTTTCTAAATCCGGTAGTATTATGACGTAACTGAGCCTGCGACCTTCGTAGGGCAACTCCAAAATTTGACATTTTAGTTCCTCATCAAAAGAATATCTCAATTTTTTCTTTGAAAAGTGCATCAATGATATTTGTGTGGTGTGGTTTTCAGAAATGTAAAACTTGTCTTCCTTGGTGTTGGATTCATCGAAAGGAATGTCCCATGAGCCTTTGAAATATATTGCGTTCACAAGTACAAGTTTCGTCATCGCGTTCAGTGAACCAGGCGCTATCAAGTTACGAATTTTCTGATTTGTTTGATTTTCAACCCATGCATTGATAGTGGCTTCACACTCTTTTGCTTTGTTTCTTTGAAAATTGAAAAGTTACATTAATTGAAACTTACTTTTAATTGATAAAACGAACAAACCTAAAATCAACAGGCTCCAAAGCAGCTCCATAAAATTCTTCACAACTTTTGAGAAATTCGTTCAAAAATGAATTTGACTTTTCTCCATAGAGCTTGTTAGCGATGTGTAAGATGAATTTGTCATTTGACTTTTTCAGGTCGTCAACCAGCTTTCTGAAATGTTCGTGAATGTCTTTATTTGTCATCTTGTCCAGTTTTAAAACGGATTTCATTTCAAGCTCTGTTTTATCTTTTAAATTTAACGAGACTAAACATACATTTGAGGTTAATGCTTTTATAATATAACATAATGACTATTGTAGTTCAAATAAATCAAACAACCAATGAATTGCATAAACGACTTTATTTTATCAATGCAATTTTAATTTACCAGCACTTCTTAGAAAGTATCGACAGCAAACAACAAACACATAATATACACGCGTGAACCGACGCATCACACGCCTTGCATGTGATTGACGGAGATTTGTTTGCATCCGAACCAATGCACTGCAACAACAATGACAGACACTCTAACCGTTACACTATCGTCCCGTCCAAAACACTTTCCAGTTTTAGTCAACGAAACAAAATAAATATTTGAAAGATTAACCTCTTGCTCCGAGAGAAGTCATGGCAAGTGCTAAGGAAATACTCATCGGTGAGAAGAAAATGTTTCCATCGGCATCTGAAGAGGAGAATTTTCTGTAGAGGTCCAATCCGAATTCAGTGTTGGAGCAGGATAGCTTTTTCAATGAGTCAGACATCTTTTCAAGTTTTTAATTATCTTTTTCTTTCTCTGTATTTAAATAAATATTACTAAGATTATTTAAATCAAATTATTTATGACGCTGCCATGCAGTAGTATTTGCTAAACTCTTTCACACACAATTCAACGATATAGAATACGGTTAATGAATTCAATGCTTTAAAACAGCATAGTACTGACTGAACGCTGAACTAAATAAATGATGTTCTATGGTTGTATGATCGCACAAACATGTTGGCTTACATAACGGTCTATATTTATCTCATGGTTTATTTATATCTCATAGTTTATTTATAGATGTATCGGTGTGGTGTGATGATAATTGTTTTTCAAAATAAAACAAATCTTTTTCAGTTTTTTTTTCAAATATCTAACAATTTATCCCAATATATATAATAAAATTTAGCATGTTTATAGACAAGAATGAAATATGTAGTATATTATCACAATGATTTACTCAAGCAGATGATGCGACAATATTGCTATCAATATTGTTACCATATGTAGGGAACACCATCTATTGTTTTATCTTGTGACTCATTTCTTAATCATTTATTTAGTTTTTATCTTTCAAAAAACTTCCAATTTTATTTTCGCTAACTATATTTCGCAAGAGACTTTCAATCATTTCAATTATTCAGTCATGATGTATTATTTACTGAAGAACTCAGATCGAAGCATGAAGCAAATGTATCAGGATAGAGAAATTTGAAATTACTGCTCTAGTGTTATTCATAACATGAAATGCGACACAACTAAGCGTTGTTCGACGTAAGTATACCAAAGTAAATTAAGCCAACTAAACATAAATTTAAACGGCTATGACATTAAAAAAATTAACGTTACTGTACTACATCAGTTAGAAGTGTATCCATTTGAATGCTATGAAAAGTTTTGTTGGAAATACTCAAAGATGCATTTCTTTCGTAGAACAATTTAAATCAATCAATCAATCTTGGTTTTGCGTCCAGAGACCCGGTTCCCCAAGGTAGGACGTAGAACAATTTCAAGCCATGATAAATCGGGTCATTGTCAAGTTTGTCCAAATGGAAAACACTTTTTATTTCAGAGGCAATTTTATCTAGACTTACTGCAGAACTCAGATAGAAGCAAATGTATCAGAATAATATACCATGTGTTTCATTCTTGTCTACAAAACTTCCTACTGCATTGTCTAGATACTCAATACAAGAATGTTATAATCTGAATATTACCATATATACCAATTATAAATATGATATTGTAATTAATGGTATGTATATAACCGACGAATTATTTCCATTGTTCCAAGACAATCCACTGTTGAACTGAAATAAATTCACGACCATACTGGGTCAAAAACATCTATTAAAATATGAAAATTAATAACATCAAAATGGTCCGTAAAAGACAAAAAAGCATAAAAAATACAATGAAAAAATAAAAAAATAAAATGCAGGCTTTAAAACACAATCAAGAATCTGCTATCAAATGCTGCTAACAATCATGATGAAGCTAATAATTTTGTCAAGATAAAAACTTCATTAAAAAACTGGAAAAAGTTACGGTTTCACCAATCTACCCATAAAAACATGTTCCCCTGTCTTGTTATCTCTTATCATAAAAATAAATGGGTGATCAGCTCTGAAAATGATCGGATCTGACATTATCATGGCGCAATACTCAACACATACAACAGCAGTTGCAGCTGCTGCCTCTGAGCCCTCTTCATTCACATCTACAAATGCTTTGTGCACAACCTTAGACACATACAACTCCCTGGTTCCATCCATTTTTGACAGGTCTGCTCGACCATGCTCAAACAAATCAACAAGCCCAAGTTTCTTCAAAACGTCACCTAGTTCAAAACTAGACTCAAGTTTGAATTTAGGCAACCAAAGTTCAAGAGTTTTGTAATTGTGTAACTTCTGGGGAAGATTATTCAAAATGGGCACAGTCAGTTTCTTTTCAACTGATGCTAAACAAGTTGCATTCAAATCAGGTAGAATGACAATGAAACTCATTGCACCATCTACATAAGGCAGATCAATTATTTGACATTTCAGATCTTCATCATAACAATACTTCAGCTTTATTTCCATGAAATACATCATGGGAACTTTCATTTTGGTGTCTTCAGAGACATGGAAATGTTGCTCACTTGTTTCATTTTTGTTAAATTTTTTGTTCCAATCTCCTTTGAAGTAAACAGCATTCACCAAAACAAGACGAGTAAGTTCATTTAAAACGCCTGATAAAAGATTTTTAATTTTTTTGTTTGTGTGCTCCTCTACCCAGCTGTTGATTATTGATTCACATTCACTCGGTTGGTTCCTGGTGGATCAAAAAAATGAAGATTCATTTGATAAGCCTACACATTCCTTGACAAAAAAAGAACATTCAAAGACATACAACCAGAAATTAGATTTGAAATTTAAGTCATTCTGGCAAATATTTAACACTTAACTGTAATATCATGGGGTGAAATGAAACTTCAGTCGATAATAATAAAATTGATGTAAGGTTTTGAAAATTAAACTACAAATTTAAATTTGAAAATAGAAAAATGCAGTCAGACTTGAAATCAAGAGATTCCACATTAGCTCCATAAAATTTTTTGCAGTTTTGTAAAAAATCATCTTTAAATTTGTATGAAACTTCTCCATACAGTTTGTTTGCAATGTATAATTCATATTTTCTTTTTGTATCAAGAAGTTGGACGTTCAGCTCGGCCAGTGGTGAATGAATTTTGTCATCTGAGATGTCCTTGAACTTTAAAACTGATTTCATCTGGTTTTTGGTGCGGCCTAGAATATAAAAAATATGAACCTATTTAAAATGTTATATTTATTCATACTAACTAAACAAAATGGCTCACCGTCGGCTCCAAGCATTGTCACTGCGAGTGCATAAGATATGCTCGTTGGGGAGAAAAAAAAATTTTCTTTGCTTGCATTGGAGAGCTGCTGATACAAATCCAATCCAAATTCTAGGTTGGATGCAACTTGTTCTTTCAAATCAGCCATTCGTTGAAATTATACTTAGTTCTCTTTGAAAGATAAAATATAGATCTATTACAACTCATCCGAAAGTTTGATTAGGCGTTTAAATCCCACCCACCTGTTTTTCTGAAACAATGAAAAACTAAGAAAACTGATTCCGTGTCAGCCTGGATAAGAGAAGTTAGAATCTAACTGTTTGATGAAATTGCACTTTTAATCATTCATAATGCTAAAAGTGATAATAAATAAAAAAAAATTTAAGTTTCACTTTGTCAGTCTTAAGAATTATATGCCATATATATAGAATATATACCCAAATGCCATAAATATATAGAATAAAATACACCAAATTATTGCTAAAAGTTAGTAATTTTCCAAAATTTAACGTTGAATATATATATAAATAATAGGAAAACCAGAGCGACGAGCACTAGAGGTGAGCATGGGAACGGGAATCGTGGGAATCTCATAGTTCCCACTTAATTTTCGGTAGTGAGAATATTAGGGAATAGGGAATCGTAGTTCGGATATCGAGAATGATGGGCGGGAATGGGAAAAAATGACTACGTGCGAAAATAAAAGCCTAACACATGTGATCAACGCATATAGGCTACTCAGGCCGACACGTGTGCGTTAACAAAGATAACCACCATGGAATCACGTGAAATCAACAAAGCTATAAAAAAATTTTCTGCGCATCCATGTGTATGGCATTTATTTAATAATCTCATTTAATTTTCCACATCGATTTGTCTTCGGAGTTTTGTTAGTCGATTTGCATTAAAATACAATAAAATTAGTAAATTTAAATTAGTAATTGAATTTGGCAATATATTCTACATGTCTTCAACTACTTCAACTTTAACTAAAATTGTGTTGCAGCATTTAATAGATAAAAATATGCAGCAGTAGAAGTCTTCTCTACTCAAGACCCATCTGTTTGCAAAATTCATTGAGGAGCGCTGTTGAACATTGCGGAAAGAGCATTTTATAGACTAATTGATTGATTGATTAATGTATAACTCTAAATAACTCAATATAACCTCTATACAACTTTATATAACTCTATATAACTCTATATAATTCTATATAACTGTATCTCTTCCTTTATAACCCAAAATATAAGAGTATATAACTTTATATAACCCTATACAACTCTATATAACTCTATGCAACTATATTACAAAAAAAATGTGTGTTGTTATTGATACAAAAAACGTATTCTTGTCATAATCTTCAACATAATATTGTTAGTTATTAAAAAAATCCAATTATCGACTCGAATATAAATCATTTCAAACTGGTGTGATAGGCTGATATGTATCAGGAGAAAATATATTTGAACTCCGACAGATGCAGTTTGAAAAAACATGCTAATCATAAACACAATAAAAATTAAAACTAAAATGGTTGATAAAAATGAAACAATTCGGAGACGCAACGTCATCAATTGGAATTTTAAACAAAACGCACATCAACAAATTCCAACAAATCACTGAGTGTCGAATTTTGTGCACTTTGTAATTTTCTCAGTCCCATCTTAAGCATGAAAATGTTTCTTTTGATTAATTTATATCCATGCAATTAAATGAGAACTTTGTAAAATAGTGCAGGGATTGTAATTTTTCTTCAAATCTGAACTATACTTCATCGTTTGTTAATTGAATTACGCAAGAGATTTTTAATCATTTCAATTATTCTCGATTATGATGTATTACTTACGGCGAAACTCGGATTGGAGCAAACATACAAGAGTATAGAAAAACTTGAAATTAAAGCAGATTAAACCAACTGAAGATAGATTTCAACAGATGGCATGAAATATACTAATGTTTGTGCGACTATTTCAATGAGACAAAGATTTACGGTTATTAATTTTGAACTTTACCCTCTCAACTTCAGCAATTAAAACACTTCAAAATAAAAACCAAAGTAGTGAGAACAGTTTTGAATGTTTTCAAGAACCTGCAAAATGTCGAACATGCAGCATATAGCAACGGCGGAGGTAGGGTTTGGCTTAGATGTTTACAACGAGTTGATTCGAGCTCAGCCGAACGACAATGCATTTTTTTCTCCTCTTAGCTTGTTATTGGCCTTAGCTATGACTTTACTTGGGGCACAAGGTTTCATTGTCATAAATAACTGGAATGATATTTAGGGCGAATGAATTATCTGGATTTGATTTTTTTTCAAATTCTAGATAAAACTGCCTCTGAAATGAAAAGCGTTCTCCATTTGGACAAACTTGATGATGATGCCATTCATCAGGGCATGAAATTGTTTCACGAACAACTTTTGGACACAAAAGATAAGTACACCTTGAATATTGCCAACAAATTTTTTTTGAAAAATCAGAAAATTTTCTGACAAGTTTCAACGAATCGTGTCATAAATTCTATGGAAGTTATCTGCAATTAGTTGACTTCAAGTAAGTTTTTTTTTGTTTTTGTGATAAAATGATTAAAAACTTGAAAACAAATTAAATGATAATTAAATTGTTAAAGCTAATTTAGATTAAAAATGTATCAAAATTTGAACGAACATTCGTTTGAATATGAGCAACAATTTTTTTCTCAGAAACAAAGCATCGGAGTGTGAATTGATAGTGAACAACTGGGTACAACAGAAAACAAACAATAAGATCAAAAATCTGATACCTCAAGGAACCTTCAACCAACTCACCACAATCGTTCTCGTCAATGTTCTGCATTTCAAGGGAAGCTGGCATAAGCATTTCCGCAAAAGTGCGACAGCTGAGAAAAACTTTAAAATCTCCCAAGATCAGACTATTAGCGCTCCTTTTATGAACTTCAATAACGAAAAGATAAAATATTATTACGACGACACGCTTGAAAGCCAAGTCTTACAAATACCTTTCATAGGAAACACCGCCAATTTCATAGTAATCCTGCCGAATTTGACAAAAACTAGTTTGCCTGAAATGAAGAAAAAGCTAACTTCCGACGTGATAAAAAAAATTTCTGAAAAAGTTTCCAACTGGCTGGTTACACTTTCGTTGCCGAAATTTAAACTCGAAACAAAACCAAATGTTCTTGAAACGTTGAAAAAATTAGGAATGTCTGAATTATTTTCAGTGGAGAACTGTGATTTGTCAAGAATAAATGGTAAAAAAATTTGTACGTATCTGACGTGAAACAGAAAGCATACATTGAAATTAGTGAGGAGGGGGTAGAAGCGGCTGCCGCAACCGCTGTCATTGGGATGAGGACGAGCTCCAGGGTTCCCTCTCTCCCGCGTGTTGAGGTCAATGCCGATCGTCCGTTCGTGTTTCTGATCAAAGAAAGTACTTTGGGAGCCGTTCTATTCATGGGCAGACTGAAGAATCCTAAATGAAAATATTTCTGGAATAAAATCAAATTATATTTTTTGGTTAATTCGTTTGAAAAATTATCAACTCTTCTATTAGATAATAAATTTGTCTGGTAGATTTTGAGTGATGAAATACTAAAAATTGTAATATTTGAAATTAATTTAGTTAAATATATTGAAACCAAATTTTGTACAATAAATGATAAAGTAAATGAAAATATAAACTTGGTTATGTCAAATTACACCACTAAATTGTATTTTATTTATTTCGACAGCTAAACAAAGTAATCGTTGTAATTCAGACATGAACATGAACACAATGTCGTTTTAAGGGGTCTCATGGCCGAGTGGTTAGCGTGTCCGTCTACCACTCCCACGACCCGGGTTCGAATTCTGCAGTTTCTACAGATTCATCCGGGTAGCCGACCCCCGGTCAACCCAGCCGTCCAATTTCGAGGTTGGTAAATGGGTAGACGACGTAAGTTGTCGCATGCTGGCTGGCGAGATGGCTCGGTGGTTCAAATGCTCGCCGAGTCAAACATCTCAATGGCTATCATATACTCAGGGTATATGATGCGGTGCTTGCGCGTGCACGTAAATACATGTGTACGTCGTGTGAAAAGGATAAACAGCCTTTTTGGCGAAGATGGCTGCTGCAAATCAATAGATGAAGAAAAGAAGAACATAGTAAAAGATATAAAAATACCATAATATATCTGTAACATTGTAAGTGGTTCTGCGTATGTCAGAGCTGCAATAATAAAGACTAATAAAAAAAAAAAAAAAAAAATTTTACGTGCAACCTAGTCAGGTTAACAATGATAAACAAACATTAAAAGAAATTATAGAATTGAATTGAGCTAGCAAGCAGTCTAATTAGATAAATTTTTGTGAAATCATACTTTATAAAATTATTTTTTTTATTTTTTTTCAATCTCTCATGTGCAAAGAAAAAGTATTTACTAGTTGGCAATAATAAATTTGAAATTGTTTAGGATTGCGGGGTAATTCTTTTGAAAATTCATGACATTTAGTGATCTTTTTTGTTGGGTGGATACTTGGATAGCTGTTATAAGAGGAAAGGTGTACAAAAAATCGGTCTACACAATTATTTATCACAATCATTAAAATCTTTCGTATTTTTACAAGCTAATGTTACATTTTATGTCTGTTTCTGCATTCCCCCCTGGATCCGATATAGTTTGTTTGTTTCGTGAACTTTGTAATTTGATATGAAAATATACTATCGCAAACGTAGATAAATTTAATCAGCATATGTTTCTTATAAGCTACTGCAAAGTAAAAATTTTTTTACATTTTTTAAATGTGAAAGGATTTTCAGTATTTACCGATTGTTCTAAAAAAACTTCAAACTTTAAAATGACGAATGTTCAGAACATCGCAACGGCTGAGACCGGGTTTGGTTTGGATGTGTACAATGAGCTTTCTCTGGCCCAACCGAATGCTAATGTATTTTTCTCCCCACTCAGTTTGTTGCTGGCCCTGGCCATGACTCTGCTCGGCTCTAATGGTTATTTACAATGAATATTACTAATTAGGCGTTTTTCTGTCATTGTTAATATTATAAAAAAAACGTCAAACGATAAACGTTTCACGTTTTAATTTTCATGTTATGTTTTACATTTTTTTTGAGTTTTAATGTTAAAAACAATCGTACGTACAAGGAAAAAAGCTTATCGAATTTATGTTACATTAAGAAATTTTTAAACTATTTGTTATTTGTTAGATAATACAGCCACAGAGCTGAAAAAGGTTCTCCATTTGGATCAACTTCAGGATGATGCAATCCACCAGAGTATGAAACTCTTCCACGAGCAACTCATGAACACTGGAAGTAAGCACACCTTAAACATCGCCAACAAAATATTCCTCGAACAATCGGAAAATATTTTAGCAAGTTTCAACGAATCATGTAACATGTTCTATGGGAGTAGTGTCCAACGTGTCGATTTCAAGTAAGTTGTAACTTCAAGTTGTTGATTGTAATTAGATGTTGAAATGTAATGACTCAATGAAGTAAAAAGTAATTATTATGAAAGATTTAAATTTTTTTTTATCTGATCACTAACTTTGTCACTGTTTACCAAACAAAATTTTTATGCAGGAACAAAGCATCGGAATGTGAGACAATAGTGAACAATTGGGTTCAGCAAAAAACGAACAATAAGATCAAAAATTTGATACCCCCTGGAACTTTCGACTCTATGACAAAAATCGTTCTAGTGAACGCTTTGCATTTCAAAGGCAACTGGGAAAAAGAGTTTTACAAAAGTATGACTGTTGAAAAAAATTTCAAAACATCCCAAGGGCTAACTGTTAGAGTCCCTTTCATGAACTTTAACAACAGAAAAATGAAATATTACTATGACGATGCACTCGAAAGTCAAATTTTAGAATTACCCTTCATGGGCAGTGCTGCAAGTTTCATTTTAATTCTGCCGGATTTGAGTAAAATCAGTTTGCCTGAAATGGAAAAAAAACTAACAGCTACTGTGTTATCAAGAATTTCAGAAAATTTAGCCAACTGGTTGGTTACACTATGGCTGCCAAAATTTAAACTAGAAACAACTCCAGATGTTCTTGGAATGTTGAAAAAATTAGGACTTTCTGAATTGTTTTTGCAAGGAAAAGCTGATTTGTCAAAAATAAATGGTGCTAGAGATCTGTACGTATCTGACGTTAAACAGAAAGCATTCATTGAAATCGACGAGGTGGGGGTAGAGGCAGCTGCCGCAACAGCTGTGATCATAGGACGGATGAGTGGACACATTTACCAATTTCCAAGCGTCGAAGTCAATGCTGACCATCCGTTTGTATTTCTGATAAAGGAAAATTCCTCTGGAGCTGTTCTGTTTATGGGCAGATTAAACAACCCATAATGAATTATTTTCTAATCAAACTTTCTCTCAGACGAATTTCTTCCGTTCACAGATTTCAATTATGTGTGTGTTTTGATAATTAAATGAAACTAATGAATTATTTAATTAATTTTGTTAAAATAAAAATTGAAGTTTAGATAATGAAAAAAATAAAGTTTATTCGAATCTGTTATATGGAAATAAATATATTTATGAAAATAGTTTTATTGTTTTGACTAATGAGCGAAAGTCTTAAAAAGAGCCAAAGTATGATTTGAATTAAATCGGAAATGAAGTTTGTCGTTCATCTTTGTTGAAACCGCCGGCCAAACATTGAAAAACAAATTTTAAAATCTCCGCCAAATTATGCTTTTCAGAAGATTAAGTTGTTTTAAGACATTGCAGCACATATGTCATTTATTCCAATTTAGCTAGGGTTGATTTTGTGAACTTAGAAATTGAGTTCAAAATCTTGTTCTAAAAATAGTGACACTAATGATAGATGTGACAAAAGTTCAAATGAATTTTAAGCCTCCTTTCATAAATGATGATCGCATGACAGATTATCTCACAACTGTAAAATGTCGAACGTTCAGAACATCGCAACGGCAGAGATCGGGTTTGGTTTGGATGTGTACAATGAGCTCTCTCTGGCCCAACCAAATGCCAATGTATTTTTCTCCCCACTCAGTTTGTTGCTGGCCCTGGCCATGACTCTGCTCGGCTCTAATGGTTATTTATAATGTTTTTATATTGAGATTATTTATTTTAATTTGGTAATTAATATTTTGTACATATTATTTAATTTGAAACGAATTACTTTATAAAGCACAAGTTCAATGTTAAAATATTGTGACAAATATATCAAAGTTTAAGTTTTTTTTCTTATTTAGTTAAATAATTAATTTATTATAAAAAATAATTTTGAAAAAGACAAAACAGCCACAGAACTGAAGAAAGTTCTACATCTGGATCAACTTCAGGACGATGCAATCCACCAGAGTATGAAACTCTTCCACGAACAACTCATTAAGAATAGGAATAAGCACACCTTGAACATCGCCAACAAAATTTTCCTCGAACAATCGGAAAAGTTCTTAGTAAGTTTCAACGAATCATGTAACATGTTCTATGGGAGTAGTGTCCAAAGTGTTGATTTCAAGTTGGTTGTAAAAAGTTTTTATTGATTACTCAAAATTGTACTTTATGAACTGTAATCTATAATTGCTATATAGGGAAATTTTAAATAAATTTTTTCAAATATTTAGCGTTTTTCACCGTTTCATAGTCGTGCAAATTTGTATAATTAATTAAATGCCACGCAGGAACAAAGCATCGGAATGTGAGACAATAGTGAATAATTGGGTCCAGCAACAAACAAACGATAAGATCAAAAATTTGATACCTCAAGGAACTTTCGACTCTATGACAAAAATCGTTCTAGTGAACGCTTTGCATTTCAAAGGCAGTTGGAATAAGGAATTCTACAAAAGTATGACTGTTGATAAAAATTTTAAAACATCCCAAGGGCTAACTGTTAGAGTTCCTTTCATGAATAGGGTGAACGAAGTTATGAAATACTATTACGACGACAAGCTTGAAAGTCAAATTTTAGAAGTACCTTTTTTTGGCGCCGCTGCAAGTTTCATTGTAATCCTACCAAATTTGACTCAAACTAGTTTGCCTGAAATGGAAAAAAAACTAACCCCTACTTTGTTATCAAGAATTTCAGAAAATTTAGCTAATTGGCTGGTTACAATACGACTGCCCAAATTTAAGCTAGAAACAACTCCAGATGTTCTTGGTATTTTGAAAAAATTAGGACTCTCTGAATTGTTTTTGCAAGGAAAAGCTGATTTGTCAAAAATAAATGGTGCTAGAGATCTGTACGTGTCTGACGTTAAGCAGAAAGCATTCATTGAAATCGACGAGGTGGGAGTAGAGGCAGCTGCCGCAACAGCTGTGATCGTGTCAGTAATGAGTGCATTCATTCCTCCTCAAATCCCAAGGGTTGAAGTCAATGCTGATCATCCATTTGTATTTCTGATCAAGGAGAATACTTCGGGAGCAATTTTGTTCATGGGCAAATTGAACAATCCTTAATGAATTGAATAAATTTATTTGAACTTCTTCTTTTTAGTTATTTCAATTATTTGTGAACTATTTAAATTAATTGATATACAAATAAAACTATTCATCCAATTAATGGTTATTGTAAAAAATAATTACAGAAGTTACTCAAACTAAAAACTAAATCAATTTGACTCAACGACAACAATTAACAATGTGAACATGATCATATACTCATAAAACTGGGTCACTTAAAGTTTTGAATAAAGTTTGTGAATAAAATTTGCCGACAGTCTTTTTGATAATTAACTTTAAAGCTGTTGAAAAACTAGAAAAATTATTTTGCTGTATCATAAGTTCAAGAAAAAGCAAAAAGTTATAACAGTTGGGAATCTTGGAGAGGCCGGAAAGGTCATTTTCCGATGTGAGCAGTATTCTATTTATGTCAATAAAACTCTGTTTTTAAACAAGAAAACACAATTTTAGTACATAATTAACCGAAAAAAGTCACCTAGCCTAATTTTGGTCAAACTAGCAAACATTAGCGTAGTTTCTTGCACCAGCCTCCCAAAACAAACTCAATGTTTTTAAAATTTTGGCCTTCATGTCAAATTTCTCTAGATCCAACCACTGAGTATGTGTAATAAAAGATTTAGTGAAAAATAAATTTAATTATGATTTTATGAACTTTGAAACTAAGTTAGTTCCAAAAAAACTTGTTCTAAAATTAGCCACACTGAAATAAGACGTTACAAAGGTTCATATGTTTTTTAAAAGTCGTCTACGAAATAAACTTTTACGTTAACTTGTAACAGAAGAAAGTTTCTGAAACTTGAAAAATGTTGAACTTTCATAATATTGCAACGGCAGAAGTTGGATTTGGTTTGGATGTGTACAACGAGCTTTCCCTGGCCCAACCAAATGCTAATGTATTTTTCTCTCCCCTCAGTTTGATGCTGGCGCTGGCTATGACTCTGCTTGGCTCTAATGGTAATTTGTTATTATTTCATTGAGATCTTTTTTTGACATTAATATTCTCATTTAGTTATTAATTATATTGTTTACGTTAATATAACAAAAAATAAGTTTTCAAATTTTAATTAATAACCTTAAACTTTGTAAAATGAAACTAATGTTAAATATCATGACAAAAGTGGTGAAGATAAGTTTTGTGAAATTGATCTTGAACAATTTTGTCACAGACAAAACAGCCACAGAACTGAAAAAAGTTCTCCACTTGGATCAACTTCAGGACGATGCAATCCACCAGAGTATGAAACTCTTCCACGAGCAACTCATGAACACTGGAAATAAGCACACCTTAAACATCGCCAACAAAATATTCCTCGAACAATCGGAAAATTTTTTAGCAACTTTCAACGAATCATGTAACTTGTTCTATGGGAGTAGTGTCCAATGTGTCGATTTTAAGTAAGTTTTTTAAATTTTTATCCATTAGTTTAAATTATACTTCAAGACATTGACATGGTAACGTAAAATTCTATTGTTTTGTTTGAATTTAAAGATTTCTGTATTTTACATCATATACCTCATAATACAGTACAAAGTTTTGGTATTTAATCATATGCTTTGCAGAAACAAAGCATCGGAATGTGAGACAATAGTGAATAATTGGGTCCAGCAGAAAACGAACGATAAGATCAAAAATCTGATACTTCGAGGAACTTTCAACGCCTTTACAAAGCTTGTTCTAGTGAATGCCTTGCATTTCAAAGGCAACTGGGAAAAAGAGTTTTACAAAAGTATGACTGTTGAAAAAAATTTCAAAACATCCCAAGGGCTAACTGTTAGAGTCCCTTTCATGAACTTTAACAACAGAAAAATGAAATATTACTATGACGATGCACTCGAAAGTCAAATTTTAGAATTACCCTTCATGGGCAGTGCTGCAAGTTTCATTTTAATTCTGCCGGATTTGAGTAAAATCAGTTTGCCTGAAATGGAAAAAAAACTAACAGCTACTGTGTTATCAAGAATTTCAGAAAATTTAGCCAACTGGTTGGTTACACTATGGCTGCCAAAATTTAAACTAGAAACAACTCCAGATGTTCTTGGAATGTTGAAAAAATTAGGACTTTCTGAATTGTTTTTGCAAGGAAAAGCTGATTTGTCAAAAATAAATGGTGCTAGAGATCTGTACGTATCTGACGTTAAACAGAAAGCATTCATTGAAATCGACGAGGTGGGGGTAGAGGCAGCTGCCGCAACAGCTGTGATCATATCACTGTCGAGTGGGTTCAGACCTCCTCCCATTCGAAGCGTTGAGGTCAATGCTGACCATCCGTTTGTATTTCTGATAAAGGAAAATTCCTCAGGAGCTGTTCTGTTCATGGGCAGATTGAACAATCTATAATAATATTTTGTCTACTAGAAAACTTTCTTGATAATATACTTTTGCTCAATTTTTTCAATTGGTTGGGATTTTTTTAAATTTTGGTTTTTCTTTGAAACTGGTGATTCATCTGATTAATAACATCAAAATGAAAGTTGACGTAAATAAATAACAAAATTGAGTTGAATTGGCTCGGCCATGATGGTTTTTTTTTCATTTACATTTTCATCAAACAAAGTAACGATAACAAGTTTGGATATAGCAAAAATTTGATTCAAATTCAATCGTAAAACTTGTCATTCTATGCTAACATCAGTGAACAAACTTAAAATAATTATTGTACCACAAAAAATGCACATTGCATTTAGTTTTTTTAAAATATCGTACCACTCGTATTATTCTCATACTAATCCAAATATGTTAGGCTGGCGAACTTTGTAACTATTTACGTGAAACTTGCTACGAATAACAACGATAAAACTAGTGAATGTTTGAAAGATTCATATGTTTCTTATTAAGTTCCCAACATTAGGAATGTTCACGTTCACTTACAAAAGAGAAACGCTGTGATTGCACAATAAGTTTTCTAAAAACTTAAATGTCGAACATTCAGAACATCACAATGGCAGAGGTTGGGTTTGGTTTAGATGTGTACAATGAACTCTCCCTGTCCCAACCAAATGCTAATGTATTTTTCTCCCCACTCAGTTTGATGCTGGTGCTGGCCATGACTCTGCTTGGCTCTAAAGGTAATATACAATTTTTTACTCTCGTTGTTTATTGATTGACAAAAAGTTTTGTTTAAATGTTTTAATTCTAAATAGTTCAGGAAACTTGAGGCTCAAACAAATAATTTCGTGTAAATGTAACACGATAAATATATCATGCTTGAAATTGTTGTTATTATATAATAATTGTGTATTTATAATAATTTTGAAACAGATAAAACAGCCTGTGAACTGAAGAAAGTTCTTCATCTGGATCAACTTCAGGACGATGCAATCCACCAGAATATGAAACTCTTCCACAAGAAACTCTGGAACACTGAAAATAAGCACACCTTGAATATAGCTAACAAAATCTTTCTAGAAAAATCGGAAAACCTTTCCGCAAGTTTCAACCAATTGTGCCTCTTGTTATATGCAAGCAGGGTCAAACTTGTTGATTTTAAGTAAGTTACGATCGTAGTTTAGCTTGTAGGTTGGGCTCTTACTTTATATTATAAAAGTGAATTTTGTGAACGATTTGTAATGTTTTTTCAATTCCATCACTTAATTCTGTTAATTTTACTTAAAATACTTTATACAGAAACAATGCGTCAAGGTGTGAGTCTTCTGTGAACAATTGGGTTCAACTTAAAACGAATAATAAAATTAAAGACCTGATATCTCCAGGGACCTTCAACGCTCTGACAAAAATTGTCCTGGTCAACGCATTGTATTTCAAAGGCAGCTGGAGCAAATCGTTTTACAAAAGATCAACTTTTTATGAAAATTTTGTCATTTCTTCTCAACAAACCGTCAGCGTTCCATTCATGCACATGTATTCAAAAATATTGCGTTACGTTTGTGACCAAGAGCTCCAAAGTCAGATCATTGAATTGCCTTTCACTGGTAACGCTGCTAGTTTTATCGTTATTTTGCCCGATTTATCTATAACCACACTTTCGGAAGTGGAGAATAAATTAAATGCTGACATTCTGATCAACATTTCAACAAAGTTATCCAACAAGTTAGTTAATCTTAAAATGCCAAAATTCAAATTAGAAACGAGACCGCAAATTAAGGAAATTTTGGAAAAATTGGGAGTATCGGATCTGTTTAGGCCAGGCAGTGCAGACCTGTCCGGAGTGAACGGTGCAAAAAACCTTCACATATCCGATGTGAAGCAGAAAGCCTTCATAGAAGTTGACGAACATGGAGTAGAAGCAGCTGCCGCAACAGCTGTCTTAGGCGGCCTCTTCAGAAATCCTGAAACTCCCGTCCAGGTGAATGTCGATCATCCTTTTGTTTTCCTGATCAAAGACATGAGCACTGGAGCAATTTTATTCTGGGGAAAAATTGTTAATCTGAGGTAAAAATTAGTTAAGATCACTATTTGAAGGGTACTCATTTGACAAGTTATATTACTTTTTATCTATATTTCGATTCTTAAACATCTTACAGACTAATTTTATTAGATTTTTTCAAATATTTTCATAAATAACATGACTTGGCTGTTAATATGTTGTTTGATACAAATTTTACAACTGACTTTTTTTAATGGTTTGACACTTTTTCAAATTTTTTTTTTAGTTTATATGTGCAGTGTAAATAATAAAACATGAAAAACTTGGAATTCTTAATAACGAACGACGATTTGATTTGAAAAACATTTAAAATGAATTAAAAAAAATTTTGTAACATGAATAACTTGAAATACATGGCAAAAATCAACGTTAATCATATAAATTTTCATTCATAAATTAACTTGAAACACACTGAAACATTCATTTTGTTCGCTAGCTGTAGATACGAAAGTGATGGTGTTTTTAAGAGTTTTGTGAGCGCCAACTGTAACCATTATTAAATAGTTCTTTGTTGATTACATCGTTTAAATTTTTAAGTTTGTTTACTTTGTTTTCAAAAATTTTTTTTATTCTTTCCTTATTAAGATGATTAATCATTGATGAAAGTTCATTTTTGCATTTCATTTTGAATAGTTTCCGAACTTTTACCTAATATTCTTTAGTAAATTTGTTCATTTGATTTTTCAAATAATGTATACGTTGCTCAATTTTTCAAGATTCACTTATAGATAAATTTTACTAAATCCATTTGCAAAGATCTATTCTCTCAGCAGTTTGGTAAATTCTTTCTAAAAGATTTTTCCTACCTTAAGACAGTTTTATTTGAAAAATTTTCGGATCAGATAATTTCTGAATTTTTGAAATAAACTATAAAAAAGAGAAATGAAATATACTATAAAAAGGAGAAATTAAATAAACATGGGCGAATAAAAAATAATTTTTTTTTCAAAACCAACGCTGCCGTAACACCAACTCCTTATTTGTAACTTACACAATCAAATTTGTCAAAAGTTGTCAATATTTTCACACCTCTAATCCAGAATGAAAGTTTTTTATTTTTTTTCTTCTCTAATATCCCAGGCCAATATTGGAAAAATATGCAGAGTGACTGCTAAATAGGATGTGTCAAAAAAATTTGCTTCTTTGAATGTTTACTATTTGCCCTTTTTCTTTTTATTTATGAAGCTATGTACTTGTTTGTTTCGATTTAACGCTTTTAGATGGGGTTCAACTTCATTCTCAATCTCATTTCGTGATATTGATAGTTCGGTAAAATATTTTTAAATGTTGGAAACTATCTCTTAACTTCTTCTCTCCATAGATATTATATTTTATTATGTACAAAGTACAAATCGCCGGCATTTAGAAATTAATAGCAACCATGGAAGGAATGACGGTGTTATCTATATTTGGTTTCTATATTTTATTCTACTTTTTTTCTAGACCAACTCGTTCATTCACCTGTTCATTTACTCGTTCATTCACCGGTTCATTCACTCATTTATTCACTCGTTCATTCACTCGTTTATTCACTCGTTCATTCACACGTTCATTCACTCGTTCATTCACATGTTCATTCACCTGTTCATTCAAACGAACGGTTGATTCCGACAGTTACCAAGAAGGGTAGGTTGTAATTTAAAGATCCCCATACCTTGATTCCATCCAAGCCACCCAGGTTTTAAACATACCAATACCAACTCAAGTACAAGTGCTATAGTTCAACTCTTGCGTTGAATTTTTACGTAAATCATAACTAATTTAGTCCTGGAATAAGTATCGATAATTGAAAATAGGTAAAGAGGAATTCACAAGTGCATTTCTGCTGCTAAGATGTATTTCATTGTCTGTACGTAAGTTGAGCGACTTTTTGGTATTTTTTGAATAATTTTTGTAATAATTACATCATCTTAGGATTATTATTTTATTTTTAGTGTATTTCTATACGTTTATATTATTATCTTAAGACTTCGCTATAGCAATGAGCGAATTTGGTTACAGAGAGATCCCAATCAACCACATGTAAGTTGTGTGTGTGTGTGCATGTATGTATGTATGTGTGTGTGTGTATGTATGTATGTGTGTGATGCGCTATTTCACGTGCATTTTTTGCGTGTATTGATAAATAAATAATTAAATAAACAAAGCCACAAAAATAATGATAATATTCGGTTTAGTTAAATTTCGGTCTCGTGCTTATATAGGGTATATATATATCTAAAAAATATAATTTTGAAATTGTTCTTGATGTCTCATTATTGCTTTTATCATTCTCCTTATGACGCCAAATTATTATTTTTGGTATGGTATGGTGTGGTATGGTATGGAGAATTTATATAGCGCCCCTCTATGTAAAACTCAGAGGCTCTGTTCGAGAAGCTGCCGGTCAAAAAAGTGATGTTTAAGTCGTTTTCGGAACATGTCTCTTTCTGTTATTATTGTTATTATTATTATTGTTATTATTATTATTGTTATTATTATTATCATTATTATTACTATTATATTATATATTTTTCTATTAATACTTCTGCCTTGGTGCATTTTTCAAAATTTTCATTTTAATAGCCCTTTGTTAATGACGATGAGTTTAATTACTATTTTCATCATCACGTTTTTGCCATTATTATCACCATTATTATCATCGTCATCATTATTATCATCATCATCGTCATCATCATCATCCTGTAAACAAATTGCATTGCATAACTGAGAGATATAACCCCAAACATAATAATCACTAAACTAAATGTTGGATGAATGAGTGAGTGAATGAGTGAGTGAGTGATAACTGATTGATTGATTGAGTGAGTGAGTGAGTGAGTGAGTGAGTGAGTGAGTGAGTGAGTGAGTGAGTGAGTGAGTGAGTGAGTGAGTGAGTGAGTGAGTGAGTGAGTGAGTGAACGAACGAAGGAATGAATGAATAGGCAGATCAAAAATTACATACATCCAATACAATAACCCACCAATATTGTAGATAGGAATAATTGAATGTTCAAATTAACAAGTTTGTCTATCTATTCATTTGTTTTTGTGTGTGTGTGCCTCTATTATGTGTGTTTTTGTGTGTGTGTGTTTGTTATTCTGTATACACGTACACACATCAACACTCGTCCACACACAAACAAACCGACACACATCCACAAACAAACACCGACATCCACACACAAACACCGACATCCACAGACAAACACACACACGTCCACACACAAACACACACACTTCCACACACAAACACCAACATCCAAACACATACACACACACACACACATACACACATATATCAACTCGTAGGATACATCAAAACAAACTCTTTCGTTGATCTGCTAGGCTGAATGTAATGATAACTTGTTTTGTTTGTTTGTTTGTATGTATGTATGTTTGTTTGTTTGTTTGTATGTTTGTTTGTTTGTTTGTTTGCTTGTTTGTTTGCTTGTTTGTATGTTTGTTTTTTTATTCATTTTTTAAATTATTAGAGTGTTTTAAATATTGTTATTTTTATTGGTATTATTATCAATTTACACACACCCTCACACATACAGACACACAAAAACCCACACATATCATCGCGCACACTTAATAACACACGCACGCACGCTACACACACACACACACACAGATATAGAGTCAGAATCGACAGAGATCAGCGAAGCACGGAGATAATGTCTGTCCTCCGTTCAAAGCATCTCATTTTGGAGAGAGAAAGTTTCCAGTTGCAGCAGCCCAAACCTGGAACTCATTACCGATTGATTTAAAAATAAACTCTGACATCAGTCGTGATGCCTTTAGATGGGATTTGAAACATCATTTTTTCCACAAAACGAAGCACAATTAACGCCTCTGAAGATAGCTCAATAGGGGCGCTTTACAAATGTATATATTTATTATTATTTTTTTTATCCTTTTATTAAGCAAAAACCAAGGATAAAAAAAATAATAAATATATATATATATATTTATTATTGATGAAAATCACAGCATATTTCGCTCTAGTTAACTTTCTGTTTAATTTGTCGACTATTCTAACGGTAGATCGTATATACTCTCGAGTTTCTAGAGTTCAAAACCAAAATTTTTATTCATACAAACCATTTGAACAATTAAGCGAGGTAGAACGATAAACTTTTTTCAGTGTTCTAATTGATACGTTGTGTATGTGGCCAGTGATGTATATATATATATATATATATATATATATATATATATATGTATATATATATATATATAATTTTTTTGATTACATGCTTTTCATAATAGATCTCTTTGCTACACATATATGCATACATACATACATGCATACAAACATACATACTTACATACATACATGCATGCATACATGCATACATACATACATACATACATACATGCATACATACATACATATATACATACACAGCTCGTATATATAGAGAGGAAACATTTGGATGGGCTTAAATGTTGCACTATTGGATGGTTTTAGGATATCAACCGGGGATTATTATTTTAAATATTTTAAAAATAAATAAACAAAAACATAAATAAATATATAAATATATAGATACATAAATAAATTATCATATAATAATAATAATAATATTAAATAAATTATATATAAATTAACGTAATTTCAAACTACACCATAAGCTCGTACACTGGCCTACTGTGCAATATTATACAGCAACTAACTTGCTATTCATTTCATTAATTACATTGTAACAAAACTAGAAACGACAACAACTACTACTACTATTACTGCTACTACTACTACTACTACTACTACTACTACTACTACTACTACTACTACTACTACTACTACTACTACTACTATTACTACTACTACATCTACTATTGCTACTACTACTACTACTGCTTCTACTTCAACCACTACTACTCTACAACAACAGCAACAACAACAAGTACTACTACTATTACTACTTCTGCTGCTACTACTACTACTTTTACTACTACTACTACTACTACTACTACTTTTACAACTACTACTACTACTAGATCATCATCATCATTATCATCAC